GCCAGCAAGTGAAGGATATGGAGAGCCTCTCTGGGGGATGCTGGTTCCATGAAAATTTACCCTTGACCTTTGAGTACCGGCCCATTTAGGAAACAGGGCTCTCCTCGGAAGGAATGAGAAGAGGTTTGTCAGCTGTGTTAAGAGAGAAGGTTCCAGGCAGAGGGACCACATGAGAAAAGGCTAAGAGGAGGAAGGTGCCTGGCATATTAGGGATCTGGAGGGGTGACGTTCGCCACAGAGCAGTCATTGGGAAAGCGGCTGGAAATGTGACTGAAGAGGCAGTGGACCCAAATGACTGAAAGCCATGAATGCTGAGTTCAGGAGTTAGATTTTCTCCTGTGTGCAAAGGGCTGGAGCCATGATGGTTTTGAAGCAGGATAGTAGCATAGTGAGAACTGGGTTTTTGAAAAGTATCTTGGGCAGTTTTGCAGAATATGCTTTAGAGAGAGGAATAGCTAAAGGATAGGAGACTAGTTATGAGACTTTTTTTTTTTTTTTAGTTTAAATGCATTTTATTTTTAGACAACCTATGTGACATGTTTTTTTGTTTTTTTTTTTCCTTAAAAAAACAAGGCCTCTACTCCACATAAATCACAGTCAAAATAAATGAAGGGCCCATTTATCTTAAGACATGGTGTTTTGTGGATGACAAGCAGCAGCCATTTATGATGATAGGTGATATATTCAAAGTAATTGCCAAATCTGTTAATATTTACCCATTTCTAAACCACTGTTAAAGAAAATCATATATAGGGTCATACCATCCTCATGGTAGTTCAGTAGAGCAACCATGCCATCAGGATTCATGTTTTCATCAAGAAAAGAACTGGTAGTTTTTGAAATTAGCAAGGATGTGCTTGATTTGTTAGGCAGCCCTACCATAAAAGGTTTTACTCTTTCTGATCTCGCTTCTTCAAGTTCCCCTTTCATTGATTTCATGTCATCTTTAATGTACTTCTTTTTTTTTTTGTTTTCTTCTTGAGATAGGATCTCACTCTGTGGCCCAGGCTGGAGTGCAGTGGTGTGATCATGACTCACTGCAGCTTTGACCTCCCAGCCTCAAGCAATCCACCTACCTCAGCCTCCCAAGTAGCTGGGACCACAGGTGTGACCACCATGCCCAGCTAATTTTTTTTTTTTTTGTACAGACTGGGTCTCTTCATGTCTTCATGTTGCTCATGCTGGTCTCAAACTGGTAGGCTTAAGAGATCCTCTCACCTCAGCCTCCCAAAGTGCTGAAATTATAGGCATGAATCACCTTGCCCCACTGATGTACTTGTAGGCATCCTTTGCAAAGCTGGTTTCCTGCAAGTGAGGTTCATGGCAATATCAACACCAATGATGACTCTGGGTGCTTTGGGTACCTTCGCCCTTGGGGCCTTCAGAGGAGGCATTTCCACCAATGAGCAAGTCATCAGTGTTACCCCCTGTCCTGGTGATTACCTTCTCCTCCACTGTCAGCCACAGTCTATCCACGATCTCCCAGATCTCGTCAATGTCAGAGGGCTCCTCATCGTGTCTGATGAGGTCCACTGAAGGAAGAGGACAACTGCACTAGCTTAGCGGGATTCTGGAGCAGTGTTGGGAGTTGGGGATGAGAGGAGAGTGGCAGGAAAAGCAGGACGCTTTTACACTGGTTCAGGCAAGAGAAGATAAAGTGAGGCTGCAGTGATAGAAAGCTGGAGTCTCGATATATTTAGAAGGAAGAGAATTGACAGGACCTAGTAGCCAGTTCAAAGAGGGTGGTAAGAAAGATTCTGACATCCAGGACACCTGGGGAAGCTTGGCAATTGACCAAAGAGAAAATGAGAGAAAGCACGAGGCTGGGAGAGTCCATACTGGATCTGTGGAGTGGCTTCCAGGGAAGGCGTGCCATTGTCCTCCTGATCCTCAGGGAGACAGTGGTAGAAGGGAGGGCACTTGCACATGAAGGTTCTTTGCCAGGTTGCTCCCATTCCAGTGTTTCAGTGACGTATGAAATCCAGAGATAACGCTGGCAAGCGAGGCACTAAAACTGTGTACTACGTGCCTCTACCACCACTATTTCACAATGCTTTGCAGCCGTCCTCACAATGCTTCTAAGAGATGGGTATTATGATCTCTATTTTGCCAGAGGAAATTTAGATTCAGAGAAGTTAAGTGACTTTCCAAGGAGTCTCATAGCATTTTCCGGAGAGAGGTTTTAAACCTGGAGATTCCGCACATCTAAGTACACCACCCTGCCTCTTGGGCACAACCAGGCATAGCTATGCCACTGCTAAGTTCTCCCAGACAGAGGGGGTAAATTGAAATGGTCATTGTTAGTGAGCTTGTTTTTGTTTCAAAGTAAAGAAATGTAAGATTAGGTAAAAATGGGTTGCTGTGAACACAGCTGGGATGTATCAAGTATTACCAGGGCTTGAGCACATACCCGCCCTTACTCCAAGGAATTTGTTTTCAACCTAAAGAAAATAATCCAGTTTTGCCTGAACTTTGGTGAAAGCCCTGGAGCAGGAAGTTCCTGTACTGAGCAGTGCCAGCCTTCCTATTATCTAACAGGGCCAACGTAACTCATTAGAGGTCTACATTCTGGAGAGTGGTTTAGACTAGCATTTTCCAAACTGCTTATTTTTCATGGGAAGAGATGACATTGTGACCTGTCTTATCATCCGCTGGAGGGAGACTTTGATTGTTTCTCCCATGGGAGTACAAGATGGACCAGGCCAATCACAGGCCTGGAAGTCCCTTCCTCTCCAAGGGCACACGTTTGTGCCACACTGGCTTAGTTAGGGATGTAGACTGGCTAAGATGATGTCTTTCCTTGCAAAGCTGAGCAGCTGTAAAGGAATTTAGCTTTTGGCCTTCAGCTTTGGCCCTATTGGCCACCACTGCTTTCTATCATGTCAGAAGGGGACAAAAAGAAATGGATGCCACATGTGATCAGTATCCACATCATCCATCATTCTGGGCAGTCAACTTACATTTTCAAATGCATTTTTCTTGAAGAGATTTTACAGATAAAAAAATCATATTTCATCTTGCTCACAAGTGGTCTCAAGGCATTATTAGCAACACTGTACTTGGAAAAGCACTGAACAGTGAGATAAAGTTTCCATAACACAATTGCACTTTACACTCTATTAGTCATTGATTCATTAATTCATTGAACAAACATTTTAAATACCTACCATGTGCCAGATACTATTCTAGTGTGAATAATGGAGCACTGTTGTATCATTCATGACAGCTGTCATTTGCTATCATTCTCATGCCTTACTTAGATGTAAAGATGAACGAGATTTAGACAAGTTAGGCTTACCTCTAATAAAACCAAAGGATGGGCCAGTGTTCATCCCTCCAACTGTATTCTAAAGGAAAATAAATCCTGCCTATTTCTTTTTTGTTTTTCCGAGACAGAGTCTTGCTTTGTCATCCAGGCTACGCAGTGGCGCAATCTCGGTTCTCTGCAACGTTTGCCTCCCGGGTTCAAGCAGTTCTCCTGCCTCAGCCTCCCAAGTAGCTGGAACTACAGGCACATACCACAACACCCGGCTAATTTTTGTATTTTTAGTAGAGATGGGTTTCACCATGTTGGCCAGGCTGGTCTCAAATTCCTGACCTCAAGTGATCTGCCCTTCTTGGCCTCCCAAAGTGCTAGGATTATAGGCGTGACCCACTGTGCCCAGTCAATCCTATTTCATCCAACGATCCAGCAGATTAGATTCATGTCCAAAGAAACCAATCAAATCTTTTTTTAAAAAGCATGCTTTCTACTCTTTTTCCCCAACCGGCAACCTAGGAAGACCTAATGTCCAAATTTATCTCCTTTTCCTGAAAAGCAAGTTTTCCCTCCAGGCTTGAAAATTTATGCTTGATTATCCTTGACTCTGCTCTCTTCCTTGCTCTAACCATGCTAGTTAACATTCACTTAATGTCAGCTTCATAAGGGCAGGGATTTTTGTCTCTTTTGTTCTCCACTGAGTCGCTGGCACCTACACCAGTGCCTGACACATAATAGCAGCTCGAAAATGTTTGTTAAATGCTGAAGGAATTCAAGTCTTGTCTAGCTGCAGGGTTAGGCTCTCGAGTCAGCATGGTGGACAAAATTAGTGTATAGTTAAATGATCCTTTAAAATTCTGTGATTTGCCCACACATTACAATATCTAGGCATATTATCTCTAAGTCCCACACAGTTTCTTCCCCAGTTTTGAAACAGATCACTTGGTCTTTCTTCGGTTGGGTCCGAATGAAGTAGTTGGTTAGTGTTTAGGGGGCTCATATAACTTAAATACTTGTAGGTCCCCAGAGAAAGATTTGAATTTGGGACAGGCAATTCCAATTTCCCATCTCATACTTACTGAGTGGATGAGCCCGCATTATGCCCATGATTATTTCTTTTCCTCCATCCCCTTCCTGTATTTTTCTTTGCCAAACTCCTAAACTTGAACTGACATAAATTAAATGTGGACCTGATGCTGTTTCCCAGCACTGACAATAGACTCTTTACAAAAGCTGTGTCGACTGACAAGGGTGAACCAACCCCAGGATCCCTCAGCCCAGTCATGAATTCTACAAAGGCAGGATGGTTCTTTCTCCTTCAGATTTTCTCCTTTAAAGCTCAAAAAGGTAACAGCTTTTCAGGCTCCTTTAAAGGGCTGAATTCCTTCATAAGAGCTATCACTTCCCCTAGATCAGTGGGCAACTCATTCATCTTCTTCCAGGAAATATCTAGATACATCAGTTTTCTTCTTCAAAGTAAAGGCAACAATCTAAATCTTAGATGGAATTTCCTTTCATGCAGAGTAATTTTGGGCTTCTTGTTCTAAAGAAGGAAGGATGTACTGAGTATAAAACAAGGACTTTAAAAATTCTATGTACAGTATTTCCTTGACTATATTACAAATGCATCTACTCACACAAGTCCAGTAAAGTACAATCTAAAAGAATAAAGTCAGCTTAGCTGGTGATAAATAGGGGAACTATTGTCTAAAAATAATAAAATACTCTGATTTGCTTATAGGAATCAAGAAGAAAATTGAAGGTCTGATGGAAGCTGGTCCTTGGTTAGTGAAGTTGCATTTGGCAGATAATGGCATAGATGGAAAAGGAAAAGAAGGAGAAAATGGTTTGTCGGAATTCATTCAAACTTTAACATAGTAAGTAGCAATTTAAGAGGCCTTATTTGTTCACCTTTTAAAACTAAGTGCTTGAATTAAATCATTGGGATAATTATTTAGCTGCACCTTTTTGGCAGTTTCCAGTGAGGTTTTACAGCTCTGAGAGCCAAGCAGTGACCCATCTTGGTCTTGGTACCTAACATGGCAAACAGTTGTGTGTGGACCATAAAGCAATCTTCAAGACCTCACTAGAAGCCCCATTTTAAGAAGTTGGCAACTGAGGAAAAACAGGACGTATGACCTCCCAATTTTTCTTTCTTAAAGTCAGGATATAATGTAAAATGTAATCGATGTGACCTAAGGAAGAAGGGCGGCCTACCCAGGAGTGATCACTTTTTTGTGTTTGATTACAAAGTTGTCCCAGCCTCCTCAAGGCAGAAGGACACAGCTATTCTCAAAAGCTTCTCAAAAACAGGATATTTCCTTGCCATGTTTGTGTTGAGAATCTTAGGTATTTCCCTGTCCAGGCCTACTGAGTCCACATCCCCAGTGGGCCAAGTAGGATTTGCAGCTACTGTAGAAAAAGCTTGCTGGGTGGAGACAACTCTAAGATATATAGTTTCAGGTAGTTGATAGTGACAGCAGCGCGGCGAAAGTCAAGGGCAACAGAACACAGCCAAGGCTTGAGGCTTGAGGGCTTGATGGATGGCTACTTATTATTGCTATTATTATTATTACTTTTATTTTTATTTTTGAGACACGTTCTTGCTCTGTCGCCCAGCTGGAGTACAGTAGTGCGATCTCTGCTCACTGCAACCTCCACCTCCCTAATTCAAGCAATTATCCTGCGTCAGCATCCTGAGTAGCTGGGACTACAGGCATGCGCCACCACACCCAGCTAATTTTTGTATTTTTAGTAAAGACATAGTTTCACCATGTTGGCCAGGCTGGTCTCAAACTCCTGACCCCAAGTTATCCGCCCCCTTCAGCCTCCCAAAGTGCTGGGATTATAGGCGTGAGCAACTGTGCCCAGTCTACTTATTATTTTAGAAGAAAAAGATTCTTTCTCTGTCTGGGCATGGTGGCTCATGCCTGTAATCCCAACACTTTGGGAGGCCGAGGCAGGCAAATCACTTGAGGTCAAGAGTTTGAGACCAGCCTGCCCACATGGTGAAACCCCATCTCTACTAAAATACAAAAAAATTAGCTGGGCATGGTGGCAGACACCTGTAATCCCAGCTACTCAGGAGGCTGAGACAGGAGAATCACTTAAACCCGGGAGGCAGAGGTTGCAGTGAGCCAAGATCGCGCCACTGCACTCCAGCCTGGGCAACAGAAGGAGACTTCATCATTAAAAAAAAAAGAAAGAAAGAAAGAAAAATTTTTCTCTAATATACTTATTCAGGAAGGATGGGAAGATTTTCAACTTTAATAGCTTCTCTGTTTTTCCTATAATAATCCTATTAATAAGCTTCATTTCATTGCCCTTTTAATACCATGCTGATTTAATATATTGCTGATATATTATGCTTTTAGTATTTTGCCAAAATTTTGTTAAGGATTTTTCCATCTATGCTCATGAAGCATATTAGTCAGTTCTTTTTTTTTTTTTTTTTGAGACGGAGTCTCGCTCTGTCGCCCAGGCGGGAGTGCAGTGGCTGAATCTCAGCTCACTGCAAGGTCCGCCTCCCGGGTTTACACCATTCTCCTGCCTCAGCCTCCCGAGTAGCTGGGACTACAGGCGCCCGCCACCTCGCGCGGGTAGTTTTTTTTTTTTTTGTACTTTTTTTGTAGAGACGGGGTTTCACCGTGTTCGCCAGGATGGTCTTGATCTCCTGACCTCGTGATCCGCCCGTCTCGGCCTCCCAAAGTGCTGGGATTACAGGCTTGAGCCACCGCGCCCGGCCTAGTCAGTTCTTTTCTTTTCTTCTTTTCTTTTCTTTTCTTTCTTTCTTTTTCTTTTTTTTGAGATGGAGTCTCGCTCTGTTGCCTGGGCTGGAGTGCAATGGCATGATCTTGGCTCACTGCAACCTCCGCCTCCCGGGTTCTAGCGATTCTCCCACCTCCGCCTCCCAGTTAGCTGGGACTATAGGTGTGGATCACCACGCCTGGCTAATTTTTTGTATTTTTAGTAGAGATGGGTTTTCACCATGTCAGCCAGGCTGGTCTTGAACTTGTGATTTCAAGTCATCTGCCCTCCCTGGCCTCCCAAAATTCTGGGATTACAGATGTGAGCTACCACGCCCGGCTGAACTTTTCTTTTCTCGTAATATCTTTGTCTGGCATTGAGATCAGGGTAATTCTGGCCTTACAGAATGAGCTAATAAGTGTGTGCCCCTCTTCTATTTTATGAAATAATTTGTGTAGCATTAGCATTATCTCATCCTTAAATATTCAGTAGAATTATCAATGAAAACATCTGGGCCTGGAGCTTTCTGTATGGGAAGGTTTTTAACAACAAATTCAATTTTTTTTTTTTTTTTTTTGAGATGGAGTCTCTCTCTGTCGCCAGGCTGGAGTGCAGTGGCACAATCTCAGCTCACTGCAACCTCCACCTCCTGGATTCAAGTTATTCTCCTGCCTCAGCCTCCTGAGTAGCTGGTACTACACGCACCTGCCATCATGCCTGACTAATTTTCGTATTTTTAGTAGAGACAAGGTTTCACCATGTTGGCCAGGATGGTCTCGATCTCTTGACCTCATGATCCTCCTGCCTCAGCCTCCCAAAGTGCTGGGATTACAGGCATGAGCCACTGCACCCAGCCTAAATTCAATTTATTTAATAGGTATAAGGCTATGCTGGATATTTTATCTTGAGCAAAGCTTTAGTAGTTTGTGTCTTTCAAGAAATTTATTTCATCTAAATTGTCAGATTTATTGGCATAAAGTTCTTCATAATATTTTCTTATGATCCTTTTAATGTCTGTAGCATCTATAGTGATGTCTCCTTTTTCATTCTTGGTATTGATTACTTGTGTTCTCTCTTTTTCTGATTGGTTAGAAATTTATTAATTTTATTGATCTTCTCACAGAACCGCTCTTGATTTTCACTACTGTTTTTCTGTTTTTAACTTTATTGATTTCATCTCTTGTCTTTATTATTTCCTTTATTCTGCTTACCTTGGGTTTAATATGCTCTTCTCTTTCTAGATTATTAAAGTGAAAGCTTAAGTTATTGATTTTAAATCTTTTAATTTTTCTAATATAAATGTTTATATTAGCACTAAGCACTTCTTTTATTGTTTCCTACAAATTTCAATATGTTATATTTTCATTTCATTCAGTTCAAACTATTTTCTAATATTCCTTTTAATTTCTTCTCTAACCTATGGGTTATTTAGAATAGCTCTGTTTAGTTTCCACATATGTGTATATTTTTTCAGATATCATTCTGTTTTAATCAAGGGATTAAGAATCTCTTGATTCTTAATTAAATTCTGCTATGGTTGGAAAATATACCTGGTGCAATGGCATGATCTCAGCTCACTGCAACCTTCGTCTCCCGGGTTCAAGCGATTTTCCCACCTCTGCCTCCCACGTAATTGGGACTACAGGTCCCATGCCTGGTGTGGTCATGTAGTCTCAGCTACTTGAGAGGCTTAGGTGGGAGGATTGCTTGAGCTCAAGAGTTTGAGATCAGCCCTGGGCAACATAGCAAGATCTCATCTCTAGGGGGAAAAAGGAACACACTTGTTTTATTTCTTTTATGCCCCAGATCTGATCTATCTTGGTAAATGTTCCATGTGCATGAGAAAAGACTGTATTCTGCTGTTACTGGGTTGAATGCCCCATAAATGTCAATTAGGTCAAGTTGGTTGGCAGTGTTATTGAAATCTTCTATATATGTACAAATTTTTACATGTTCTATCAACTATTGAGAGGGGGAAAATTGTGATGTTGTTTATATCTCCTTATAGTTTAATCAGTTTTTGCCTCATGTATTTTGAAGCTCTGTTTTTAGGTACATAAACATTTTTTATTGTTGTGCCTCTTGATGAATTGACACTCATCATTATGAAATGGTCTTCTTTATCCTTGGTGATGCTCCCTACTTTGATTGATATTAGTATAGTCACTACAGGTCTTTTTTTTAATGAATATTTACATAATATATCTGTTTTCATCCTTTGGTTTTAACCTATCTGTGTTTTTATATTGAAATTGGGTTTCTTATAGACAGCATTTGTCTGAGACCTTCTTTTTTTATCCATTTGACAATCTTTGTCTTTTAATTGTTTAGACCATTATATTTAATGTGATTATCTTTATGGTTTGGTTTTTAATCTATCATCTTGCCATTTGTTTTCTATTTGTCTCATCTGTTCTTTGTTCCTTTTAAACTAGTTTTCTGTTGCTTTTTGGATTAATGTTTATAATTCCATTTTTATATATTTAATTGGCTCGTGAGCGATACCTCTTAGTCTTTTATTTTCTAGTGGATGCTCTAGTGTTTACAGCCTTCATCTTTAACTTATTACAGTCTACCTTCAAATAACATTATACTACTTCACGTATAGTATAAGAATCTTACAACAGTATACTTCCATTCTCTTCCTATCCTTTGCGTTTTTGTAGTCATATATTTTACCTTTACAAGTGTTATAAATCCAAGGATACATTATTATTATGTCTATTTTAAGCAGTTGTTTTTTTAATAAAGGGGGAGTTTTTTATGTTTATTCACATATTTACCATTTCTGGCATTCCTTATTCCTTTGGCTATATTCACATTTCTATGTGATATCATATTCTTCTGTCTGAAGGACTTACTTTATACATTTCTTATAATCCTGGTCTGCTGGTGATGAATTCTCTAAGCCTTTGTATATCTAACAAGTCTATGCTGCCTTCATTTTTAAAGTGGTTTTTCTTTTTTTTTTTTTGTGGCAAGGTACAAAATATTTGATTGACAGTTAATACTTTTTTTTTTTTTTGAGATGGAGTCTTGCTCCTGTCGCACAGGCCGGAGTGCTGTAGCACAGTCTTGGCTCACTACTACCTCCACCCGCTGAGTTCAAGTGATTCTCCTTCCTCAGTCTCTCGGGTAGCTGGGATTACAGACGTGTGCCACCACACCTGGCCAATTTTTGTCTTTTTAGTAGAGATAGGGTTTCACCATGTTGGCCAGGCTGGTCTCAAACTCCTGACCTCAGGTAATCCACCTGCCTTGGCCTCCCAAAGTGCTGGGATTACAGGCATGAGCCACCATGCAGAGCAGGCAGTTAATACTTTTAAGATGTTGCTGCACTATCTTCTGTTCGTATTGCTTCTGAAGAAGCATCACTATCTTCTGCTTGTATTGTTTCTGAAGAGACATCATTTTTATCTCTATTCTTTTGTATATAATTTGTTTTTATTCCTCTGTATGCTTTCTTCCTCTTTCTCTTCCTCTCTCTCCTTCCTTCTTCCTTCTTCCTTCTTCTTCTTCTTCTTGACAGAGTCTCACTGTCACCCAGGCT